AAATAAAACACATACAAAGCAGAACACAGCTAAATGTATCAAAAGTATGTCTTTGTAATATTAGAATTTTCTGAAACAATGAATTTTGGTTTTTCATTTTTTTTCCAGTAAGAGGTTTTCATTTAATAGAATTTTTGGACAAAAAAAATCGCAATATATCGCCTTGTTTAAAATCGCAATATATTGGGGTATATCGTATCGTGATCCCTCTGTCATGATATGTATTGTAGCGCCAAATTCTTGCCAATACACAGCCCTAGTTGACAAGCCAAGTTAAACCAGAGTTATGATAAACATTTTACACCACTTTTTTCTCTTTTTTAGATTCATCGTAGTTGAAATACATTGCTGATGGAGGCTGCAAAAGATGATGAGATTCTATTAAAAAAAAACACCTCAACCCACCCTCTGGTCTCACCCCCACCCTTACATAAACCCCCCCAATCTCCTTTCTGACTGACGCCTGAAATGATTCAACAACTGTTAAAAAATCTACAGGAGGAAGAAAATAAAAAGACATGAGTTGAATGAAGTTTAGCGGCGATGAAGACACAGCAAGATCAGGACTGAGTGAGGAGATTTGACAGTTTTATGAGTTTGGATTTTATAGTTAGGGTGCAGTTTTGTGTTTAGTTTTAGTGTCTTTGAGTCAAAACGATGAGGGGATAAATGTGGAGCTGCAGTCCGAGCTGCGGACAGATGGAGAGCCGCAGTCAGAACCACTCGTTTGGTCAGGGAAGCTCAAAGGCAGAGATGGAGGAAAAACCAGGCTGAGAAAGAGAGAGGACTTTAACAGGGAGATCTATTATTTAGATTAGAAGAGGAAAGAGAAGAGGAGCTCTATTAGCAGCATTAAACGCCAAGTGCCAATTAATAACAGCCAAAACATTTCTGTTGATTAACTGAACTCCAACCCTACACATACCTAAAAACCCCCAAATATATAAATAAATCTGTTTTTTATACTAAGAGATTCTGGAAATGTTCTCTTTGAAGTTCTTTAAACACTGCAGCAGAAATACTGTTTGCTTTATAGGAAAAATCATCTAACCTATAAAACTTGTTTTTTCTATATTTGTTCTTCTACTTAGTCAAATACTGTATTTCGGATGTTGCCGTTGTTAAAAACCAAACAAACTGTAATTATTTGTCTTGTTGAACCCCACCCCAAAGTCCAGGGGTCTCATGTATAAACTGTGCGTACGCATAAAAAAAGTTACGTGCGCCAGGTTCTACGCCCACGTTGGGATGTATTAAAGCCAATGTTGTGTGAAAGTTTGAGTATATTTACGCACACTTTTCACCTGCTGTGAGAATGTGCGGCAGCCACGCAAAGTTTTTCAGTCGACAGTTTTAACTCACAAAGTCACGAATCTGACCTGAATCCACAGAAATGTGACTCTGCTCTGTTTTCTGGATGTAAGGAGCGTCTGAACACGGTGTTAGATTTTTATTTTAGTTTGAGTTTTTATTGTTTAAACTCGAACGATCACGAAACTGAACCGTGGGGCTGAAAATCATTTAACCTCAGACAAGAAAATAGATCAGAGTAAAAATGATCAAAGAACCTCAGTCCAGTCTGTAAACTGTTTTTATATTGTTGTCACGTAGTTGGAAACACACGCAGAGCGCAGGCCTGTGGAGCGCACACAGCTGAGGAGAATAAAATGTGTTAACTGTCTAAGAAACATTTTAATTCTCAGTGAGAAAAAAACTTTGTCAACTCAGCAGATTCATTCAGAACAGCTCAGCTGTGATGATTCCTCAGCTCCACAGGATGGAGACAATAGATTTGTTGCTGCGTAAAGTTGTGCGTAATTTATGGATCAATGTCAGCTGTTCTTCAGGTTGATATCAGAACTGAGGACCCTGTGGTTTTTTTTTGTTTGTTTATTTGTCTCACACCAAAAAACTTACAATCAGGTATTTTACTGTAGTTCAGAGTCGAGCCATGCAGCTGAGAGACTTCATGACTCTAAAATATAAATCACATCGCAGCAGAAACTCGCAGCGCTGCGAGTCATTTCTTCACGTCAACTATTTAATAAATATTTTTCTACGTTCTACCAAACTCATCAGTTCCTCTGTGTTTACAGTCATTTATTAAAGACGTGTAAAGGTGGAAATGTCTGTCAGCCTCATGCGTCGCTGCAGCACACGCGCGTACACACCAACACACACACACACCTTTGCGTGTGGCAAACTCATTTTACAGCCCACTACTTATTTAGACAGTTTTCTCTCTCATTCTCCATTTAATTTAAATTTTTCCTGCATCTAAAAATGATTTCTGATCCCACAGAGAGGACAATCTGAGGAGAATCTCACAGGCTGGACACATTTTACATCTATTTTACATTTTTAAATGGAGGCGTGTCAGGGGAGGAGTCTCAGTTCCACGTTCGTTAGGATGTATAAAGGAAAGGTGTACAGCTGCGTGTGCAGTTTTATACGTCTGAATTTTTTGGTGTGGCGCACTTTTCTAAATTTGTCCGTAAGTCAACTTTTAGTGTGAAAACTGCGCAATCCTTTATGCACGACGGCCCTGAAACTCAATGAAACTCTACATTACACTTCTGTAATAATTATATTTATAATAAAAACTTAATATAAAATAAATATTTTTTACTTTAGTTTCGGTTTAGGTTTTGTTTCTTACCATGCCCTCCCTGACTGCAAGGCACTTTATAAATATAAAAGGCAGACGGTGAAGGTAACGTGTGATGCTGAGTGAAGCTGCTTTTAAACGTGAGATAAGTAGGAATCCACACTACAAAACTCACCGCCAGCGCTTCAGCAGTTACTTTGATTGGAGATCTCCAAGCAGCTAGATAAGAAACACAAAGAATAACACCAAGATGCTCATATTAACCCCATCCATGTTTTATACACAGCTCAGCAAAAACACAACAATCTCTATATACCTACAAATTCATACACAGTGTATTAATTAGGGGTGCAACTATACATGTATCTGCATCAAACCATTCAAGACAGTGCTTTAGGTTCAATATGCACTAATGGCACTAAGTTTCAAACAATATAGATTTTTTTTATTTATTTTATCAACTTGTCTTCTGAAGATGCTCTGTGTTGAAGGATCAGTGGATCTGTGTTCGACTACTCCACCTAGGCTGCATTGTCGAGCTCAGATCCAGAGAAACTTGCTGTTTCAGCAACATTTAATTTAAAACCTGCACTTTTGAGATTAAACAAATGTTCATAATTATTTTTTTTGTTCATAATTAATTTTAATAAATTGCAAGTTAAGAAGGGCTACAGAAATATAATAATAAGTAATAATAATATATAATAAATAAGGGTTAAATAAATATTTCCATAACAGGCATGGGCATTTCTCTAATGAAAAAATATTGAACAGTGAGACTAAAATTACTGAACTGAACCCAATCATGAATTTTCTGTATCGTGAAGCTGGGTGATCAAGTCCGACTCTTTGTTATGATCTGTCTCAGCGTTCTGTTTGAGCCAGGAATCAGGTGATCCTACCTTTACCTGTCAGCGGTCTTCAGTACCTAAAAGCCGACACAGAGTAAGTGGACATACCCAGCAGATTGTGGACCAGCTGAGGGTTGGGCGCCAGCGGCTCGGGGTGAGTGAAGATGGAGTATCTGCTGTGCTGAATCTGCCTCAGAGCTTCGAAGTTCCCCAGCAGGATGTCACACAGCCACTGAGCGTTGACACACGGGATCTTCCACTCCTTGGCCTTCTCGTACTTCAGTCCTCTGGGTCTGAGGAGAGAACAACATGTAGCTGCTGCTGCTGCCTGAACGCCAGCTCGTTGGTCTTCAGGGTCTTACTCTTTACAGATGAGGACCGTGTTACTGCGGCACAGGTATCCCGTGTATCTGGCACCAGCCAGGTACGCCATCAGCTTCAGGTCTTCCCTGTCAGCGTCCACAAAGCCTGTCACCGATATGATCTGAGAGGAGAGACAGGAAAAACACGCAGACATTAGCAGGAAATATGACTGCTTCAAGGTTAGACAGAGGGGTTCCAGACAACATACAGATCCTGAACAAGTAGAGGAGAAATAAGGAAACGTTTTTGGCAGGTTTTCTGTTGGGAAAGGATCTGACAGCTGTTACAAAACAAACCAGTTTCACTCCTGATTGGACCAACTCATGTGTGTGTTCATCAGTGAACGGAGATAATTAAATAATTGTGTTAAAGCATGTTAAAAAATTATTGCCATTATCGTGATAATAACATGTTAACGTGGCCAGCACTCTTTTTTTTCTTTAAGCCCCTTCAATAGACAGCAGAACTGAATATTAGTTTCTTAGTTTCTTCATAATCAGATTTTTAAGTAGAAAAAGGTGAAATGTAAGGGAAAGAGTGAAAGACAGATTAGAAGATATGTGAAATAGGGGTCGACCGATACATCGGCCGGCTGATATTTTTGGCCGATATTTGCTTTTTTTTTTTCCTTGTATCGGTATTGGCCGATACACTGTCCGTTCGGCCGATCTGTTCTTTGGGTCATGCGAGCGCATGTGTCCGCCCCTTCCCCCGGGGAGAGCGCAGCAGCTAATGTTGTGAGACAGAGTGCTAACAACAACAAGGGTGAGTTATGAATTATAAATGTGTTTTAACTGTCTAATTTAACTGTTTCTGCCCTCTGTGTCGAAATGTGAGGGAAGAGAGAACAGCTGTGTGTTAAATTTATTTTCTAGACGGGAGCGCTGCGACATGTTTTACTTTCACTTTCGCACCGCACTGTAATCAGCGTGTCCGCGTTGTTTTTCTTATTAAAAATGCTGGAGCTGCTCATATGAGGCATAGAAAAACACCTCTATTGTTCTCCCTGCTGGATTAAAATAAAAAAGCTTTCCGGTTTAGCGAGCGCAGCCGTCCACCATCATGTGAACCAGACACTGCTCAGATCATGTTTACTGTGACCGCAGTGGTGATGCTGGTTTTCTTCGGTGTACATTTCAAACTGTGATCTAATGTTAACTTCAGCTGTTTTAAATGCATTTTTTGCCTGGTGGTAAAAACAGGAGCAGCAGACTGAGGCAGAGATGCTGTGAGCGCTGTGTGTGTGAAGTCCTCACAAAGATAGCAAGATGTATGTGTGTCTCTTCTTTTTCTCTGTGTTGCTCTGACAGTTTTATTTAGGCTTGTTGCTGTTTTTGCATCAAAAACGCTGGGATATTAAAAATAGTAATTTTATGTAAAAAATATATTATTCTTATTAATATACAAATAAGAACAGAATATTTAGCACTAGATAAAATAAATAATGAATTAATTAATTTATTTTTTTTTAAAGAAGAAATCCTGTGTGGTAGCACTCAATACAGCCTGCATCAGACAAGGCTTAGTTAATAAATGTTGTTTTATTTTGTTTTTGTTTTAAATTAAGACTTGTGTAACATTTGTAATCATTCTTATTTTTATCATGTTAATGGAGGAAGAAAAGGGCAGTATCGGCTTTAAGAATCGGCCAAAAAATGTCAGCTGCACGTATCGGCGTATCGGTTAGACTGATGTTTTAAAAAATCGGTATCGGTATCGGCCTTCAAAAACCTGTATCGGTCGATCTCTAATGTGAAATACACATCAAGAAAACACAAGAACTACTTTTTATTCAACCTGTAAGTTGGAAAATGTGTTAAAGTTCAAAACTTTGGTGGTAAACCGTGGTTAACGATGGTAAACCGAGGTTAACAATGGTAAACCGAGGTTAACGATGGTAAACCGTAGCTAGCGATGGTAAACCGTAGCTAACGATGGTAAACCGAGGTTAACGATGGTAAACCGAGGTTAACGATGGTAAACCGTAGCTAACGATGGTAAACCGAGGTTAACGATGGTAAACCGAGGTTAACGATGGTAAACCGTAGCTAACGATGGTAAACCGAGGTTAACGATGGTAAACCGAGGTTAACGATGGTAAACCGTAGCTAACGATGGTAAACCGAGGTTAACGATGGTAAACCGTGGCTAACGGTGATAAACCGTGGCTAACGGTGATAAACCGTGGCTAACGGTGATAAACCCTGAGGCACAGCCTAAGATTTTATCTTTAATGGCCTTTTTTATAGTGTTCATTACTTTTACTTTTATACTTTAAGTAGTGTTAAAACCAGTACTTACAGTATATACTTTTACTTGAGTAAAAAGCTCAAGTTGATACTTCTACTTCCAAAAAAGTATTTTTAAACCCTATTATCTATACTTCTACTTAAATAATGAATGTGAATACTTTTGACACCTCTGACCGTGGCTAACGGTGGTAAACCGTGGCTAACGGTGGTAAATCGTGGCTAACGGTGGTAAACCGTGGTTAACGGTAGTAAACCGTGGTTAACGGTGGTAAACGGTGGTAAACTGTGGCTAACGATGGTAAACCGTGACTAACAAAGGTAAACCGTGGTTAACAATGGTAAACCATGGCTAACGAAGGTAAACCATGATTAACCAAGGTAAACCTGGCTAACGATGGTAAACCGTGGTTAATGATGGTAAACCGTGGTAATTATTAAAATAACTGGTTGTTTTCCAGCACGGAGAATTCTAATTATTTTTCTAGTGGGAGTTTTTCAGACGCTACTTGAACATTGCGTGGGTCAGGCCGGAAGTGGGGCAGCTTGACCAAAAAAAGATAAAAATAAATAAGCACACTCACTGCCACGCTGGCAAACACAAACATAGATTATCAGTTCTGTTCGTTATGATATCGGGCAGATAAGTATGACGTCATAATCTCCTGATATTGGGCCAATAGTTATCGTGCACCCCTAAAATGTGTATGGTCTGAGTCACTGTGGCACGGTGCATGTGAACACAAAACTGCACAGCAGTGCTGGAACATGCAGAGGACAGCAGACACTGAGAGCAGCAGGAACTACAGTCTCCATGTGGGACAAACAGCAGTTACAAGGTAAAAAGCTTCAGTTTTGTGTGGAGAGCTTGACCTACATGCTGAGAGCATGGTTTGGCCCCTGGAGGGAAGGCGAAGGGCAGATGTAACGTTCGATGAGGAGGAACCATCTTCTTCTTCTTCAGCACGGTGCTGAGCCAGTGGGCCGTCACACAGCGCTTCCCCTCTCGAAGAGCCTGGAGACAAACAAACAAACAAACAAAAATAAACATGACACTTAATAAAAACAAACTGATGTGAGTAAAAGCTCCAGTTTTGTCTCATTGGATCCGTAAACTTTGGTTCTTGTCAAAATGCAGTTTTTGTTAATTCCTGTTATTTATAAACTGGGGTTCCTTCCAAGACGTCCACTTGTGATACTAAATGACACAACACCAGCTGTCAATCAATCCATTGGGCTCGTCAGTAACAGATCGACCAGTGATTGATGATAAACAGCCACTAGCTGCAGGAACAGCAGACCAGCCTTTGTTCAGACCTCCATCACTGTGCTTATGGCAGATTTTGTGAAACATCTTCTAGAAAAACAGCTGGACTGTGCAATTCAGAAACGACTCATCCTGAGCAGAGAGAGGGCAGAATGTTTGTTTTTCATTAATACAACTTAAACAGTCTGGAGAAAAGACACAATAAATGAAGCCTTACAGCCGTCGTCACAAACAGCTGAAGAGAACAGCAACCCTTGATCATCACTTCCTGTTACTGCACAAATACCTCAACTGTTCATGTAAATGTTGTTTTTTCCAAAAATGCATTTGTATTGATCACAAAAATGTGATGTTACAGACTCTTTGACTTCACTTTCTCTGATTCCCCTCAAATAACTGAAAGACTCAGACCTTCTCTGCCTCGATGTCAGCTAATTAGACAAAAAAAGCCTCGACAAATGTCTCTTGTGACGCTGTCAGCTTCACAGTGTCCACTACTACAGCACTATTACAGTCCTTCTTAAATGGACCAGAGTTTATTTCGCCCGTTTTCCCGGACCTTTGAGGCAGATATGAATATAATAGGGGTGCGCCAATTGCAGTTTTCTGGCCGATCACTGATCTTTAAAAACTCTGACCCGCCGATTCCGATATTTTAAATAACAGACTGTCGGGTGTTATAAGGTCACGATCCACCTCCAATGTTTCAGTGTTATTTTACTGAAATACTCTGAACAATATTCTTGAAACAATAAAAACTTGTTGTAACTGGACATTAGGTAGTATCACAGCAGAGCAAAAGGGGACTCTGGCTGATTTTCAGAGCTTTGCGGAGGTAGAGAATCTTCTGGTGACGTAGAGCTGATCTTTTCCACTGATCCAAAGTATCGGCTGATCTCTGATTTATCAGCTGGATGATTTATCAGTGCCTAGAATACACTCATATTGGTGTGGAGCAAACAACCAAACCAAGACCTATTTTTGAGGTCGTCTCGGTTTACTTCTGGTGTGAGTACAGACCGGCCTCGAACCTAACTTGACTTTAATGCAATGAGTAATACTTCCTTTAAGACCAGAAAATCTGTCCATATTATTTACTTTTATAATAAGCAAATCATTAACTTTCACAACATTTTACATACTACAGACATACAGCATATATTAGACAACTGATTTAAACTAAAATCACTTTTCACAACAAGAGGATCCAGTAATTAAAATAAACGGTTTGGTTTCAGGTCTTTGTTTCAGCGGTAATATTTCTAACAGTCAGTTTAACCTGTGAGAGCAGAGAACAGGTTCATACAGAGGTGCACCTACCTGAACATACATGTTGCTCACTTGACTCTCGCACAGCAAGTGAGTGCAGCGGCTGGTCAGCGTGGGGTCAACAACACCCCCACAGGCCTGGATGACCTGAGGGAACAGTGTGGGGAGGGGGAGGGGGAGGGGGGGCGCACTGTGTTACAAGCAGCTTGTTTTCGTTTCTTTATCAGTGGTGCCTGATGAAAACATCTAAATCTGATCAGTTCTCTGGTGTCTGACTGATGGCGGCTGTCGCAGCAGGGGCAGAAATGGATGCAACTCAGACAGACATCAACAGGGTTCCCACACCATGGCCCACATCGAATTCAACGACCTTTCAAGAACCTTCCAGGACCAGTGTTAGGGCTGGGTATCATGGCCAATTCTCTAAATCGATTTGATTTCGATTTATTAAGTTCAGAATCGATTAATCACGATTCGATGAAAATGTTTATTGATACTGATATTATATTTTGCAACTGTGTTGCAAAATATAATATCACCATTTTTCTTCTCTTCAACATAAACAACAGGTTTTAAGGACAAACTTTTAAATTAAACCGTTTAATCTTGAAAGAAAACTGTCAAGTATAAAAAGTTTTAAAGTAAAAAGGAATTGCAGGTGACAGTGTTGTTGGGTGCATTCATTTTTAATTAATTAATAATTATTTTGAAAAATAAGAAGTGATGGGAATAAGGTTGCAGAAGAAGAGGTGGGCTAATATAAATATACTTCTGCCCACTCCTTTTGAGAGAGAAAAATTGTGAATGAGTGTTCTGAACTGTAATTTCATTGTGCTCTGTACAATGAGCATAAAGGTTTATCTTAACTTATCTTAAAACTGAATATTTGTAATGTTTCTGTTACCTTCTGTTGTTATGTTCAATAAAATTTATTAAAACTTAATACATATAACTTATTAAAACAACTACAAAATTTCATCACTGTGGATTTCATTAAGACGTTTCTTAAAGTTTAAAAATAATAATATTGGTAACAAAACTAAACGATTTTGTTAGAATGTCGTCTTAAACATGTGTAAACATGCCGGTGGAGAACAGTTCAGTCAGATGTTTACATAACGTAGTTTGGTTCAGGTGCCGAGCCGCTCGTCAAACCCTGCTCCGTTTCCTCTACCACGTAGGAACGCAAATCTTTGCAAAAAAAAAACAAAACAAAAAAAAAAAACTCTCCATGGTCTCTGTTATCTAAGTCCTGTGGAGAGCCGACTGGTAACTTTTGATTCCTTAGTTTATTTTGATTTGATCCAGACAACTCATTATCGAAGGCTAATGTTAGCACTGAATGTCAACCGGATGTAAATATACAGCAAGCCAGGAGTGACAAAATATAGAAACACATCTCAGACGCGCGCACAAGACACCATGGGGAAGAATCGATCTCATGTCCTGTGAATCGATTTTCCCAAATTTAAATGAAATCGATCCAAGATAAATAAAATCGATTTTTTTTTTACCCAGCCCTAACCAGTATCCTCAAATTCAAGGATCACGTGCAACAGCATTTACCTACCTACAGCTACCGCTGAATATGTTATCAATGAACGATTTTAATAGAGGAATGTCAATTAAATACTGGATGGCACAGACGTTGTAGGGTCACGGGGTTAGAGTTGTCTAAGGCGAGTCGCAGACCGGCCCTGGATTCAGTGTTGATGGCAGAAATCTATGGAGGTGACGGAAAACTTTAAACCATTTTTTTCCAACTCCCAAAAAACATTTAAGGACTTTCAAGAATTTCAAGGACCTGTGGGAACCCTGCATCAAGCTCAAATTTGGTGTGGTAGAAGCTGAGATTAATCCCAAACACATAATCTAAGTGCCAATGCACTCCTATGTGCATCAGCTGGATTCTTTCTCAACATTTCTGAAACTCCCCAAATTTAGTTTCTGATATTATTTAGTGTCTAAAGTATAATTCTGTTTTTCAGTGTGTAACTGAGTAAATGTAGACTGATTTATTTATTAAACTGAATGTTTTTTTTACTGATTAAACTACGAACATGTTAAGTTACAACATAGAAAACATTCATATTAACTGTTGAAGTCAACACTCGCCGTCTGTAAGTAAAATATCTGGAGCCACTGAACAGCTCGAGACCTGATTTAAGATGGCCGCCACAGTGAGCTTGGCAAACTACAAAACTGACAACAACTCGGTTTAGAGAAGCAGACACCATCAAGCCTTGTTGTTCTGTCATCCTGTTGTGTCGGCCGTGTGTCTTACCCTCTTCCACGTGGCCAGCAGTTGTTTGTCGGCCATTTGTTCCGGGTAATCGGCCACAGCAAACACACAGCCGAGCAGGAAGCTGTCCTGAGGAACTGAGGACAGAACAGAAAGAACATGATTGATCTGACAGGGTCAGGGTTGGACCAGGAGAGGGGGGGGACCTTCGGCCTATAGGAACGAATCAAACCCTCAATGACAATCTGTCACCAATTAGCCTAACAGTCAGGTTTCTGGTCTGTGGGAGGAGCACCAGGAGAAAACCCACACATGTATGGAGAGCAGCAACGACTCTCGATTGAAACCGGGACGAACAGGTTGATTCTCACAGAACTGTTGGAATTTTAAAAGTTTGATTTCTACTTTCAATACCCAGTCGACCAACTGGAAGAAGTAGCAGGTAGTGTGCAGCGACAATCTAAAGTGTGGCTTAACTTTAATAAAGAAGAATATTATAACATGCAACAGAGGTGTAGGACAACATGATTAAACACCTCTCAGGGTTCCGTCTCTGACACGTTGAGTCTTCACTGACACTTCTGGGTAAATAAAACAATAAAATACATCTAATACCAACGCTGAGGCAGCTAACAAATCCTGCTGGAGCTAAAACCTGTAAGATCAGCTCAGTAACACAAAGTTCCTGCAGCTTCACACACTGCATGTGTCCATGTGTTTTCAGCAGGTTTTTCAAAATAAAATGTGTACACTGTAAGAAATATCCATCTAACCAAGTCTTACAATCATATCAGCCAAAAAGTATTTTTGATCTTGTTTTGAGACTGACAGACTAAAAAAGAGCAGACTTTGTTAGATTAATTATCTTGTTAGTGTGGAAATTTTCCTTATTACAAGAAGTCTTACCAAGTGTAACTGTGTCATTCCACTGTCAGATTATTTCACTTCATTTGAGTCTGAATCTTGTGAAACTAAGTGAAATAATCTGTCAGTGCAGTAAAACAATCCACAGAGTACACCTGTGCAAAGTACATTTATAACATTTATATTCTAGTTCACAGGTTTGATGTTTATAAAACAGTTGATAAAAGATTTGAGGAATTCTTAGTGAAGTTCATGAAAAGTAAAAAGTTAATAGAATTCAAATTCTTAAATAAGTTAAGACTATTTCATCCAGCAAGAACTCATTTCAACCAAGTCAACTGTTAACCCTGATTCAATTCAGCAACTTTCTTACTGAGAGGCAACAGCTCTACCAACTGAGACACCTGCTGCCCCAAATGTTACATAAATATGCAAAAAAAAAAAAAACTGACCATTGTTGGTTTTATTAATTTATAACTAAGTGAGTTGATAAAGTGAGTGTGGAAACTGAAGTGTGTCAGAGGACTTTTAAAAAGTAAAATATTCCTGAAAGAGAACAAGGTTCCTCACTCCTGGTTTAACCTGATTCATCAGGTGAGTAAAGATCCACACAGCCTGAAGAGCTCATTCTTTACAGGAGCTACTCACCGTCTTGTCCTGGCTCATGTCCAAACAGCTGCGAGATGTGAGGAGGCTGCTGGAAGATCTGCTGGTTCTGATGTTGCTGATTCTGGAGCTGCTGCTTCTGCATCTGCAGGAGGTGCTGCTGCTGCTGCTGCTGCTGCTGCTGCAGGTGCTGCTGGTGTAGCTGCTGCTGGTTCTGCTGCTGCTGTAACATGTGCATGCGCTGCTGCTGCTGCTGCTGATACTGCTGCAGCTGTTGCTGCAGCTGCTGCAGACCGGGCCGGAGGAGCTGCTGGGGCCGCAGCTGCTGCTGGGAAAACATCTGCTGCTGCTGCAGAAACTGCTGCTGCTGCTGCTGCTGCAGCTGGGGGAAACCCTGCTGTTGAACGACCTGGGACTGCTGCAGCTTCATCAGCTGCTGCTGCTGCTGCTGCTGCAGGTGCATCATGGGATGCTGTGGCTGCTGTGGTAGCTGCTGATGTTGCTGAGCAGACTGGTGAGACTGCTGCAGAGTCTGCTGCTGCAGCTCGGCCACCTTGGCCTGGTTGAACGTAGGAAGGTTGGTATTGTTTGGGGTCTGAATGTGGCTCAGATTCGTCTGATCCAAAGGCTTGGTTTGACTGCCAGGCAGGTTTGGGATGATCTGTAAAACAAACTGGTTTAAGTGTAGACAAAGCGCAGATCTGAACGGTTAAAGCTTGTTGTATGTGAAGAAACCACTGATGACCTGTGGAACACAACATGGCAGAGGTAAATGTGTGTGATTCTTACAGGTCGACTGGCCGGCTGCATGTCAGCGCTGTTGGTTATGTTGCGTAGGGTTCTAATGGCTTGGTTCCATCCAGGCATACCCTCTGGACCTGGTCCACCTAAAACAGAAGCATACAGTCGGTTAGGGCTGCAACTAACGATTATTTTAATAATCAATTAATCTGTTGATTATTTTTTCGATTAATCGGCCAAATCATTAAAACGCTTAATTACATGAATATGAGTAGATATAAATTACGTTAACTCCTTAAGGATGCAAGTTATTGATAATGAATTAATCTGAAGTTGATTTATCTTATAGATTGATTAACAATTAATTAATAAGCAGATATTTTTTTAAAACCTGGAGTTTTCTCTTGAATCAAGAGGGTCTTCCAATAAAATGAAGGATTTTTTATAATCTCCTGAATTAAAAAAACAGAAACACATAATACATATTTTAACAATTTATTTTGCCAGCTGTATTAAATACTGACTGAAAAAATGTGTATTTCTCCTACATGAAACATAACAGAAATTTAACAGGTTGCTGAATGAGGAAAATAGATCATAATAATAAAATATGATTTTTAGATGAAAAACTATTATTAATTTATTATAATTAGAATTTATTAATTTTTTTGTCTAATTCTTTACTTTTTGTTTCATTCTTGTTGGTTCTGTTTGACTAAAACATTGTTTGACCCTAGGGCTGCCACAAACAATTTTTTATAATAGATTAATCACCGATTATTTTTTGATTAGTCAACTAATCTGATCATACGTTAATTGAATATAAAACATAGAGCTTATCACGTCAGAATGCAGCTGCTATTATACTGTATAACCATGGTTAGATTTTAGCTATATGCTAACTAAAAATAATTGCTGTGGAAGTCAAGTTCTGCTCTGCAGATATTACACAGGTTTCTCTTTCATTTTCTTAAAATGATCCCACACTTTGAGCTCTGTTGTCAGGTAGCCATGATACCAGAGCCTGTCTGTATAATGTCTTGTGACGTCCACGGCCTACCCCAGTTACCACTACTGTGCATGTGTGTCAAGGACAGAAAGGCAGATGTGGCAGTGGAAGGTGTCAAAGCAGTTTGGAGAGAAAAACAAAGTAAAGAACAAAAAAAAGAAAAAGAAAACAATCGATTATTAAATTAGTCATCGATTATTTTAATAATCGATTAGTTGTCGATTAATCGATTAATCGTTGCAGCCCTACAGTCAGTCACTGTAAACTCTACGCAATTTCACTGACTCTAGACTGAAGTAAAGAACTTGTTTAGTCAGACTGACTCTGCAGAGTGCACCTGCAGAAGACCAGAGCAGGTCATGTTGACAGGTTTCTTCGGGAGTGGGGCTTTGGTTTGCAGCTAGTGCTGGGTGATTTGGCCTGAAATCATTATCACAATATATTGAGCAGTTCACCTCTAACGATAAATGCACGATAACTCTTACCACCCCCCACCACACACAAAAACACAGTATAGTCTAGTCATAACACTATACACTGTGTCCATGTTCGTAGTCAAAGTTCACAGTTTAGATTTTGAACAGCTTTTCTGTAGTTTATATTTGTCATTTTAGTGTTTTTAATATATTTAATAAAAAATACTTTTTTGGCAAAACTTGTCATACAATTATTTAACCATCTCCATACCTTTTCAGTGCAAACACATTATGTATGTACTATAATTTTATATTTAAAAATATATACCAAAATGTGTCTTTTGCACTGCACAAAATAACTTAAATACATTTTTTTGTTAGATTGACTGATTTCTCTATTAAAATAACTATTTATTCCAAAAACATTTTATTTTTTAGAGCTCATGTAATCATTTAATACTATTAATTCTTCATATTTGATCATTTGATGAATCACAGAGCAGTTCAGTCACAGTATGGTTCTAAATATAAGCAAGATTTATTGTGAAGAATTAAATGTATAGATATGATAAACTACATAGCAGGTTGTTTTTTCTTCTTTCTGTTTCTTTTTTTTCTTTTGGGGGGTGGGTAACGCAAAGCGGAGACTCGTCTTTTCTATAATATGGGACAAACAAAAGTTCAGAAGAGTTGAAACAGTGTCTCTCTCAGAACAACTCAGCCTGTGTTTGTCGTGCTCCCGTAACAGCGCTGTCGAAGAGAGGAGTTTGGTCACGTGAGCAAAGTTGAACATAATCTGTTCGATAACGACGCTCTAAACACATAAACTTACAGTGTGTTAGATTTTAGATACCATGTCTCAGGTAGCTCGGGAGAGAAGTGTGGAGGACGGGGTTTGCTCACTCAGGACAGGAGCTGCAGGCTGACCAGTGTTTATCCTGCAGACTGCTGCACCAACATCAGAAAGCCCCCCGCTCTGAGTGGATAAAGCTGTGGGATTTGTTTGATTTGTTGAAAGCAGCACCTGTTTAAACCTGTATCAGACTGGGCGGCTTTAACAAGGCCGCAACAGAAAACAAGCAGGTTCCTGTTTTCCTCATTTACCGAAAATACCGACATGAGCAAAATGACGTCGGTTATTGTCACAAATGTCGGTATCAGTTATTTTTCGGTTTTTCGCCCAGGCCTATTTGCAGCTGAACCAAACAAATAGGAGCTACCGACCTTGCTGTGCAGAGTGACTGATGGCTGCAGCAGCAGAGCGAACCTCTGCAGGTCCGAGGCCTGCGCTGCCAGGAACAGGAGGCACGCTGGCACACAGGTTGATCAGCCCGCTGCCCGCCGCCGACACGGGGTCCTTGCTGCCCGGCACGCCTCCCCGCCGCCTGGCCAGGCCGTCGGGGATAGGGATGGTGGGCGCCACGACCTCGGCCGGGGTCCAGTTCAGGTTGGTGCCCTCTTTCTCCGTGGAGGAGTCGTCGTCGGAGTCGTCGAACATTCGCTCGCTGCGGCGCTCGGGTTTCCGGGGAGAGGTCGGCGAGACGGAGTTGAAGCGTTTGGGTCCGGGTCGTCTGCGAGGACTGGACTCCTCCCCGGACGAGCCCCCGCTGGAGGCATCTGAACGAGAGCGCATGTTGCAGGACTCAGCTTCGCTCTCCTCCTCTTCGTCAGGCTCCACATACGTGAGTCTGGGGTGATAAAGGGCCTCATCCTTCCTGGTTTTAGCTGTGAAGACAACACAAAACAAATGAAACCAAGTCACAGCAAGACACCGATCCTGGATAATAACAGAAACCTTGTTAGCAGTAACTGTGCTTCACTCTGAAAACACAATAAACCTCTAAAAAAAACAGCATTTTTATCAAATTATCTGTTTAATATAAACCATTAAATCATGAACAAAGCTGTAACTGGTGTCTTGGTCTCATGATGTCAAAGTGTGAACAGCTGATGACAAACAAACACTAATTCAACACAAATTGAGTTGTTTTAGGGAAAGAAAGAGCTGAGATCTTATGTTAATGAGCTGAGCCGGAGCATCTCTAACTGATCAAAACAAAAACGTTTTTGATGTTTTTAACGTTGCTTTTCTTTTTACAAAAACCTTGCCAAGTCTGAGTTACATTAATCCCATTAAGAACCACTGAAGGATGCAGAAATTGTGACAGAACCATAAAAAATTCAGATAAAAAAAACATGGAGAAATTGAAAAATTTCGACAGACACTGGTCTCAGCTTCTGTGAACCAGATGCTGCTGGATCAACTCCCAGCAAGAGAAGACACAGAAACAGTTGCTGCTCAGCAAACAAAGCAAACTGTTAGAAACAGACACTGGTAGTGTTTCAGAATCTACCCAGACTTATAATGAACAAAGACAGAGGTGAATAAAACCTGATAATAGCGTTGGAGTCGAGACCACCTTACCCGAGGCCAAATCAAGACCAAGAACAGAATAAAAAAATAAAAAAAATAAATTGGTGCCCTAAAAGATAAGAGTATTCTGTACACATGTACAGTAGTTTCATATATAGATCTAATAATGACAAAACGGCCAGCAAGGAGTCAGGTTTGGAAGAAACCTAGAAATTTAACTGTGAAACCACAGTGATTGATTATAGATGTTTCTGTTTCATAATAAAGTTTAACCATAACGCTGAGTTTAGATAAGTAACTGAGAAGATGCAGATGGCAGGAGGAGGGTCCAGCTGTAGTCGTGGGTGCAGCCGAGCCAAAGCTGGTACTGGTACTGTTCAGACAGCGGGAACAGCAGGTCAACCATGTGAGGTAAATGTTCGCTACGTTAGAACTTATTCTACAAATGTGTTTCCATCTCGCCTTTTGTGCATTAACTCTTATTCTGAAAACTCAAAAACCACCTCAAGTGAGCGTATCAACTTTTCTGTGAATTAGAGGAAGTTTTTTCGAATCGTGACGTTTCCATTCACCTTTTCTGATGCCATACTGCAAAATGCGCATTAAAACATGGGATGGAAACACAACTACTGTATTTTTCGGACTATAAGCCGCGACTTTTTCCCTGAACTTTGAACCATGCGGCTTATAGTCCGGTGCGGCTTATACGTGGATTTTTTTTCTTCAGCCACCAGGGGCTCTTATGCTCCATTTGCTTCAACCACTCGCTTCAAAAAAAGAAAGGAAAAAAAAAGAAAAAGCTTCCAGAGCCGACTGTTGACCAAGAAGCAGCGATTTAAAGATAGTCAATGGCCAAAAACTCATAAAAGGGGATAAAACAGACATTTTTCACGGTGGAATCTGACTGATAAAAACKTTGGAGCTTAATCCAGGACCAGTTTGTGGATAAACGTCGAGTGAAGAGCCACAGACTTTTTTTTTCCTCATTGCACTCCCCGGGGAAGGACTCCCATACAGTGACGTATGCTGGAGCGGGAGGGCTTTCCCAGCACAGCTTTACACAACAACAGATACCGCTGTGTGACGCAGCTTTTCTCAGCTTGTTTAACTC